CTTAGCATTCTCATCCCACCACCATTTTCATACAGGTTTTCTAGGTAACCTGTGAAGGTCTGGGTTGGTTTATATTCTGGGTTTGCGGTCAGCCCAGGCTGGAAACCTCAGCGATTGGTGTTTGGATCCTGGTCCCATCTTGCCTTCTACAGATTAAAATTTATATAGGAAAACAAATTTAATTTATCTTAGTTTAGTTTATATATATATATATATATCAAATTGTGGTCAACAGGGGCAATGGCAAAGATAAAACAAGAGGAAGCAAAAAAGGAAGAGTGCAAACAAAACCCATTTGTAGAAGCATTTTGGTGTCGATCAGACACGTGCTTTTGAATGTAATTTCCACTTACGCTTTGATTCCCTTCATGGTGCTGCCTTGGGGTGCACAAGCTGGGTTTCTTCCAGATCAAACTAAACAGAAAGGTGCACTTCAGGTGCAGGCATAGCACACCCCAACCACTAATACACATTCACTCCATAGTATGACGCTGGAGGCAATCTGAGCTAAAATGTGCAGGAACAGGGACGATGTCAGAGCCTCTGTACCAGATATTTTACTTTACAGATCCAATCTTCCAAGGCCACATTACCTGCTCAAATCTTAGCTTTCAATATTGTGTGTTGCTACATTGACCGAGTTGCAGTAAGACATTCCTTAGGGGCATTTACATTGACTCCTCCTCATTAGAAAATAAAGATATCATTGCTGGGAAGCCAGGCTCTTTGCAGCCTCTCTGGTCTCCACAACCTGTTCTTCCACTCAGTTCTATTTGCTGAATCTCTCCAACATGCTGCAGAAAGCAGCTACTTGAGAAAAACTTTGGAAGTTACAGCTATCATAAAGACAAAAGGAAACTGGTTGCCTGGCATGGTCTTAGGGGATTTGTTTCAGCACAGTTGCAATCTCTCTGTGATATAGTTTAGATTAATCATACTGAATTCTTCAGTGTTTGCTACATATGTCTTTATTATTTAGCTATACAGTTCTAAATAAAATGTGATGGATTTTTTTAAACATTATGACTTATTTTGCTTAAAATAGAAATCACCATCTACTTTATCATTAAAATGCTTTGGGGACACAACCTTAAAATACATGAGAGAAAAAATCCTTTTTCCATTCTCTTCAGTGACAGCTTTGCTATTGAACCAAGATTTCATGTGGAAAACACAAGGTAATGATTTAAATGGCATTTCTCTGGAGTCACAGCTAAACAACAAGCAATGAAGTGTCTATGATTGTTAGGGTGCTTATTATAGTAAAGAGCTGGGAGAATAGAACTGATGATCATCTTTGCTTTTTTTGGCTAGAAAGGAAAATTTGCCTACTGAGATACTCTGTATTGAATATGTGGATGCTGAGATGAATGAGAAACAGAGTTGCTGACTTTGAAAAATTGGGAAATAGGGATGGCTGTGTCATATTGGTAAATTATGCAGTGAGTGTTCCCTGGATGAGATCACCTGTGCTACTCGCTTATATTAACAGTCCAAAGGTAGGCTGGCTAGTGTTCTCCTAAACATGGTTTGAGAGTTAGCAGAGGCCAAGGATTGCTCCTGATCGGTAGTTTGGGTGCCATCCCACTGGTCTGAAGGCTGAGAGAGTTTAGCATTACAGTGGACATAAGCTACTCTATGGTAATTCATTTACACATTGGAGATGATCCTGAAAATGCTGGATTTACTAGTATAGTCAGCTTCTGTGTGTCTTTGTTTTAATTTGAGCAACCTATAGAAAATAATGTAGAAAAGTGAGTTAAAGCAGAGATACCTCTACAATGCAAAATAATGAGTCACCGTGTGGGTAAATGGGAAGGCTGACTTCTTCTCTATTAGTTAACCCAAATAAGGACTGGTAGATGCAGTTGTTTAGGAGAATTGTGGTGTTGCAACCTCTTATCACTCCTATCTGTGTCCGCTTTGGATGCAGACAGCAGGAGATGGCTGAATCTGAAGAAACCCCCATTAGCCGCACCCTTGATGCAAGGCACATTCCTCACACATTGACTCAGGGCTATCAGCTTTCCTCTCCTGTCTTTGCCATGTTTTTCCCAGCATTATAAACACCTGGGGAGACAGTGTTTTGAGCAGCCACTTGCTATATTTGCTCATGGTATTGAACTTTGGGTAGGAGCTGGGAAGGAACAGATCAAAGGACCTCACTGGGAAAGGAAGGGACAATGAAGGTTAAGGTTAAGCACATCCAGCCCCAACCAGACATCACACCTGAGCTTGGCTTTGCAGCACTTTTACTCTCCATGAGGCAAACTTCAGGGCATAAGCTTGTGTCATCGCCTTGTACTGTTGCCTCTCTTTTTCACTGTGGACATACCTGGGCTATGACAATCCATGCAACCAGTCAGGAATTAGGAGAGCAAAGCTGTAAAGTCCCTTCTTCACTTGTGTAGAATGGACAGCGAGAGCAATTCAATTAGAAACATTAATGTTAAGAACCAGACACCTACTATTACTAGTCACCCACCTTGAACATTTATGAACTGGTGACATTAGCATTACTTCTACTGACAATAGGTTGAACAACAGCATGTTCAAATTGTATTTTCTGCAGCCATACAGAGAGGTATGACTTCTGGCTGAGAAAGAGAGTGCATGTTTGCACAGTAATATCAGTGTTAAAATACAGAAATAACTCAGAAGCTTGTTTCTCTGCAGGAAGCTGCTGCAAAGTTTAGTAACAAAGGCTGTGGGTATAACATATCTCATCTGATCACAATATCATCCTTATGTCCTTACCTGTACAAACTCTAAAACCCAGTTGGTAACTTCAGCAAGATCAAAGAAATGTTGAGCATCAGGATTTGTCCCACCATTAAATTAGGTGAAAAAACACAACAGTGCAAATATGATGTTACAATTACCAAAGCAGTGGATGCTTTCAAGCAGGAAATGTATCCTGCCCCTTGAAATTATCAAGTAGATGCCTATAGATATGCCATATACTCCAACAGTTCAGAAGAGAAACAGGGAGACAGGAGAAGTAATATCTTTACGGGTATTAAAACTATATTGATATATAGTACGTTTCATCAATATTGTATAATTAATATTTCATCATTATTGTATAATTATTCTCATGATACCCTGATAACATTGTTCAGTTAATATTATCAATTATAATGCTTAATTTAAATACTGAAAGAATTTGCTATATACTGTTTTATTTAGTGTAGTTATTTTAGATACTAAACAAAATGCACAAAGCACTTTTTTTTTTGTCTTTTCTGCTTTATAGAAAACAAAAATCAGGGGGCTTCTCAAAGAGAACCCAGAATTCAGAAAACAGACAGCCAGCAGTTTCTCTTCAGCAATGAGTGGCATGGCATATTTTGGTACTAAATCCCAGTGCTGCCACAAATGTATCAGTTTTTGTTTTTATATCAACTTTTTTGGGGGGGCCTATTTTTATTAGTGAATAAGCTGGTGCTGCAAACCTTATCCAAGTTTAAAACATTTAAAAGTCTTTTCCTGAGTTAGGAATAATTTCCCTAGAAAAGGCATCATTGAACTTGTGGACTGAGGTAAGAGATAAAACCCGGACGTAAAGAAATTAAAATACTAAACTGTGGGGACTCACCTGAGATAACACCACACAGTCACGTGTCAAAATACTGACTATGCAATTTAGCATAATTAAGATTTAATTCCAGCACATGTGTGTGTTGGTCTTGTCCTTTCTGTGTGCTGCTGTACAAACAAGCAAACAGTGTTAAGAGAAGACAGAGAGACCTTGAGTGTGTAAAGACATATACATTTTAATCAGGGAAGCTCTCTAGAAGGAGCATAATCTGACAAGTTTTAAATACAATGTTTAGAATAAACAGCTCTTGAGTGATAACCCCAGTTCTGCCACTAACACTTTGCCCAAGGCAAATTACTTTGCATCCATAAAATGGAAATGATAGCTACTAACCTGCTTTACAGGAGATTTGCAAAGATAAATTAGTTAATGTTTGTGCAATGTTTTGAACATGTAAAGTGCCATTAAGCTCAAAGAATTATTACCTCAGTTCTTGCTTTAAAACCTCAGCAGGTAGTCATAGAATACAAACTATCATGCAAACTACAATGTCCACAATCTCAAACACCACACACTGAGATCTAAGCAAGCCAGACTGTAAAACCCTGCTAATTCAGCTCTACTTCATTTCTTCTCTTCCATTAAAAAGCCTGGCCTTTAAAATCACTTCTGCAACATAGAAAATGGTTGGGATTGGAAGGGATCTTAAAGATTATCTATTTCCAACCACTCTGCTATGAACAGGGATGCCACTAACTAGGCCAGGTTGATCAAAGCCCCATCCAAACATTTTCAGGAACGGAGCATACATAACTTCTCTGGGCAACATGTTCCAGTGCCATATCACAGTCATAGGAAAGAATTTCTTCCTAACATCTAATATCAATCCCCTTCCCTTCCCTTCCCTTCCCTTCCCTTCCCTTCCCTTCCCTTCCCTTCCCTTCCCTTCCCTTCCCTTCCCTTCCCTTCCCTTCCCTTCCCTTCCCTTCCCTTCCCTTCCCTTCCCTTCCCTTCCCTTCCCTTCCCTTCCCTTCCCTTCCCTTCCCTTCCCTTCCCTTCCCTTCCCTTCCCTTCCCTTCCCACTTTCTCTTTTCTCTGTTAAAGCCATTAGCCTTGTCCTATCATTACACCCCCTGACAAAGAGCCCTTCTCCTTCTGTGTTGCCATTGAGGAACTCTTGCTAATGAATTTTTTGGAGAGAGACAAATGCTGACCCGGTTCTCATTGGATAATGGAAACCAGCTTACATGTGTTTATACTAAACATACAGAAGACACAGGATAAGTATGTACTATAAAATAAGTAAAACAGAAGATAGCTGAAGCAAGATGTTATATTTAGTATGATATTCTCGCTATGAACTATTAATTTAAAAGCTAGTGGTCAAAATCCTGACCTGTGTCCTATGGCCTTTCATCTATGTACATAAGCAGTTGGTAACAGAAGTTTTGCAATGTGAAGGAATATTGTATGTCCAAGATGAAATTCACTCAGTTACATTATCTTTAAAGGAGTTATACCAAATCCAGTTGCTGGGTATGTGACCATCTATTTAGGAAAAATGCCATATTTGAATTCAAACTTTCAGAAACTGTTCTGTTGTGTAAAAAAAAGCCTGAAAGACCTGCTTGTGATCATAAATGTCTAAAGCCTCAGTCTTAGAGTCTCTAAGTATCTTGCGACCTTGGCAAGTAGAGTACAGATGTCATGAAAACAATGCATTTATGCTCAAAAAGGTGGGAAGACAGAATTCATGGTAATTTGCTTTAGCAGTGCTGCACTACCAGCATCAGGTATTTGCAGTGTGGGAAAGAAAATTTAAATGGGAATTTGCCTCGTCTTCCCTTGCTCACCTTGTCAGGAATGAAGGAGGAGGTAAGTTAGGATCAAATGCTTGGTTTTATGGGGATTCATTTAAGGACAGGACGTGATAGGTGGTGAATTAAGTATGAAATGTTCCTGCTCAGTACAGCACATAGAATAACAATTGCATGAAAAATTCTGTAATACAAGTATTTGTTTTGCAGCATGTTAGGACAGGACTTTGTCAAGCTTATTCTTTGAATTCACACGCAAAAAATGTTTCCTTTTTCCCATGTTTAGTTTGTTTTTCAACTGTCACACTGAATTAGATTTTAAAAGCTCCATTCTTTTCCATGTTGGTATCATGATGATCAACATGTGTATCTAGAGGCATAAGTTTTTGTTTGATATTTATCTATAAAATTGATTTGAGGTTCTTTTCTTCAATGTCTTAATTGCACTTCCTTTCATATAATGCAAGCTGAGATCTTTATTGTGAGTCAAGGTTACTTTGCAAATATTCCATCCCTAGAATTTGATTTATTTTTTTCCTGGATGTCTCATTTTTAAAAATTCTTCAGTTTGTCTGAATAAATGAAAATGAATCATATATACATAAAGTTGATGAGGTTGCAGCATGAGGGTCTTTGAAGTGAATTGAATGAAATGAATGTCGCATTGTAAAATCAGTTTCTGACCTCTGCTACAGCCACAGAACCAATCCTATAAGTAGAGTTGTATGGATGTCTGAATTTACCTCAAAGTATTCTTTTGCATTATTTACAAAATATAACCAAAACAGAATGCCAGCTACATCACTCAAAAGCTATCTTGTAACCCAGTTCATCTTAATAAATGATTACAGACATAATACGTGGTTAAAGGCATGTGTTCGTGCATCTCTTTTGTGTTAGTATAAGTAAATGGGGTGACGTTTTTCTTAGCCTAATTAGCACAGTAACTCGTTAAACAATCAGCAAAAAAAGACTGTCCAGAGGAAGTTGACTGGAAAGAGAAAAGTAACACGTCTCTCAGAAGACATGCATCACAGAGGCAAGTCAGGATACACTCAGTGGCAGTTTTGCAATCCATTGTGTTCCAGCATACTGTGATAGACACAGGCATTTAGCACGTAATCTCCCAAACCGTATGTCATTATGGACTTCAGTTCTGGAGTTCCCAATTAATCATAACAGTTCATATCCTATTGGCTGTGCAACTGAATTTCTTTCCTCACAGGAGGAAAGAAATTACCAGCAGCATGTGGCAAGTTTGAATGTTGAATCAGGAGGTGGCAGACCATTTACAGTGAGATCCCAGCCCAGACAAGTGGCACTTCACGTCCTATTCCACTTTACGGAGGAGCAGCCTGTTTGGGAGAAAAAAAAAATAAAAAAAATATAAAAATATTGGTACCACAAGCATATCCCACTGAATACTGAACAGCTTGGTTTTGCCTCTCGGGGTGAAGATGCTGCGGGGGGAGGATCGCTGTGCATGTGCTCCTTTGCTTAATGCCTGTGGATTTCCCTGGAGCATCTCAAGAACACTTGTATTATTGTGCGTTCATTAAGCAACTTACTACACGGAGCGACTTCTCATCGCCAGTGCAAGAAAATAGGAGCAGCACGCACATATAGGGCCCCTGCTATCCTGGTACTAAAAGAGGCATAGATAGGAGCAGTGCAGTGTTTTTATGTTTTGTTTTGTTTTTTTTTGGTTTTTTTTTTTGCACGCACACACCTGGCCTTGCCCTGGGGGGCAGCTGAGCACCCCGAGAACAGGGCTGCTTGCACGGAGCCGAGTTTGCTCTGGTTTCGGGGAAACAGAAAGGAGGGCATCGCTCTGCATCCCGATTCCTTTTGGGGCCGGGCCGGAGCAGGAGGGGGTGCTGCTGCCCAAACTCCGCGCTGCTCCCCCCGGGGGGGACACGGTGAGGACCGGAGGCTGTGCAAGGGCCACGCAGCTTTTTGGCAAGCAGCGGTTCAAACGCACGGGCTGAAGCCTCCAGGCAGGGGGATACAGCCTCTACACACCCACCCCATAGCCCGAGAGGGGAGGAAGACAGGGGACCTGCCCCCCCCCCCCCCCAAATATTCTCTCCCCCTCCATCCCGGGCCAGGTGGGGAGGTCGCCTTTTCCCCACCTGGGCGGGGTTCCTCCTCCCCTTCCTCCTTGCTCCCGCCCCATCCTCCTCCTCCTCGGCGTCCCCAGAGGGAGCCCCTGCGCTCCTCGACCGGGCTGAGAGCGAAGCCGGGCGCTCCCCGTCCCGCAGCCGGCCCCAGCCTCCCCGCAAGCCCCCGCAACCCCCGGCAGCAGGAGGAGGAGAGGGAGGAGGAGGAAGAGAGGGAGGAGGAAGAAAGCAGCACCTACCCCCCCGCTGCGGGGCACGCACGTGTGCGCGCAGCCCTCGACGGCCGCCCAGCAGCATGCAGAGCCCAGCCGTGCGGAGCATCGCCGCCCAGAGGGGCTGAACGCTTTGGTGTGCAGGAGAGCATCTCCAAGCAAAGCTCCGAGCCCCCCGACCCTACTGCAAGAGGGGGCGTCCCGCAGGATGGGCGGTCGCAGCCCCCCCGGGGCCGCTGTCCTGGTGCTGCTGCTGCTTCTGGAGTGCGTCGCCCTCTGCTTCGCCGTGGAGGAGAAAAAAGGTAAAGGGGGGAAAAATTAGGGAAAAAAGAGGGGGAAAGGGGTCCCGCCGGAGGCACCCCGTGGGAGCCGGGCTGCGGGCGGCGGCGCGCCGCGGCCTCCCGCGGGGAGCGGCGAAGGGAAAGTCCCGGCTTCTTTCCTTAGGAGAAAAAAAAAAAAAGAGAAGGGAGAAAAGGGGAAAACAAACCTCTAGTAGCGCTCCCGCAGCTCCGACTTCCTGATTCTAGGTTTATTTTCTTTTGTGGGGGTGGAGGAAATAAAAGGGAATAAACCTTGGCACATCTCATCGCTTGTGCTTCTTTCCTTTCGTGGTGGTGTTTTTTTTTTTTTCCTCTTCCCCCTCCTCACTCCCCCTCCGTTCAGCTCTTCTCTCTTCCCCTCGTCGCCCGGTGGCTCCCGCAGCGCTTTCCCTGCCCGGCTCAGCCCCGGGGCTGCCGCCGGCCCCGTCCCGCACCGCTCCCTGTGGAGCGCGGCGGAGAAAAGCCGACCAAACCCCGCTCCGGCACCCTCTGCTTGTCGCTCTGCCCCCACACCTCCGCTTGTCCCACTTGAAAACGAGAAATATCCACGCACGCTGGGAAGGGGATGTGCGCCCAGAAACGGGGATGCGCGCACCTGGGAAGGGGACGTGCGCATGGAAATATCCCCGCACGCACCTGGGGAGGGGATGTGCGGAAAGAGCGAAAACTTCACGTGGGTTCAGTTTCTCCCGTTGGTAAACCTAAGAGCGGTTTATCCCCGTCCTTCACCCCGTGGGGAAGCCGCCCCGACTCGGCTGTCACCCCTCTGCGGGTGCGTGGGAACTGCGCGGAGCGGCCGGGGCAGGGCGCTGGGGGCCGGGGCCGGGTTTGATATTTGAGAAACTGGTTTTGAGGGTGAGAAAAGGGTTCTGGCCGGTCAGATCCATCGCTTTTTCTCCGTGTGTGGTGTTCTTTTGTGAATTTCGAGAGCAGGCCTGACTGCTGTTCCAGGCAGAGCACAGTCCTATTTATCTTGGAAATCTGCCAGCAAGCAAAAAATGCAGATTTGGTTTTTGTTGTTGTTTTCCATTCTTTCTAAAGAAAAAGTGGGAAAAGAGAATTAATAGTGATTAGAAGAGCTATGCATGGCTTAAAACGACCTAGCTAGTCTTTCGTGACTGTGGACAGTAAAACCATCCTGAAAGGGAGAAACACCCCGTTCGAAAGAACGAGTTGCACAACCTTAAAAAAGCGAAGAGACTCTCTTGCTCCAGAAATCAAGTTCATACCTGTTGTTGATGTAACATGGACAGTTTTTCTTTTCTTTTTTTTTTTTTTTTTTCTCTTCACCCTTTGAAAATGATGGGAAGCAAGCTGACTCTACCTCCTATGCCGTGTTAAAGCTTTTGAAGTGCAATCTCAGGTGCATATACCCTGAAATACGTAAAGTGTGAGGAGAAAAACGTTCTTACCTTGTTTATAGTGTTTAATTCTATGTCTCATGAAATTATGAGGGTGCTGTTTATTTGAGGATTATTAAATTATCAACAGCTACATGATAAACCCAACGGAGATTATTCACGATATGTTCTTAGTGAGTAACTGTTTCTGTGAGGAAAGCTGGAGACTTGGTGGCAGTGGGGAAGGCAGAGCAGTTGAATCAGTTATTTGGTATTTATTTGTTTTTTTCCACACCTGAGGATGAGTAAGAAAATAAGTCATGGATACAAAATGAAGCAGCATTTGAGAATCATGAGATATTGGCTTGAAGCAATGAGTCCAACAGGCAGTAGACCATCAAAACCCGCTGAGGTCTGGTCACATTATAGACTCCTGGGCATCTGAATTCAGAATAATTCTGAAAGCAAATGTGCTGTAATAAATATGTGCAACCCTTGTGTTTTATTAAAAACTTCTGTTGCCTCTAGAGGTTCAAATGGCATGTGAATTTACACTTTTAAAAACTTCAACCTGCTTTGTTCTATTCCCCAAAAGAGCTGATGCCTCAATAAATAAATAAATAAAAGTACCCAGGCAAATGTTCTTGCTAAAAGAAGGTCTGAATCAACCTATAAAATCTGATCAACATAGTGGTTTAATGGAGATTTAAATACAGTTGTGTGTTTTCCCAACATTTTAGAAAGATTTCTTTGAATATGGATTAGAGAAAACTTATTTAGTTGTAAGACTGTAGATGTGAAGATGAAAAATAAACAACAACAAAAAAATCGTGCTTATTCCAAAACCAAACAGCATTGTTGGAAACAGAAGTACACTCAAAGGGATCAATATCTACCTCTATCTCTACCTGCTCTAATGTTGACCCAGATTAATGATGGTGGAACTAATCTGGATTTCCACTGATGTTTGCTGGATGGCCTGTTAGGTGGTACCGAAGATAAATACCTGTGACAGCAGGCATGTTGCTTCCTGCAGGATGCATTGGACCAATGTCCATTTTGTTTGTCAATGCTCAGGGACTGCACTACAGTTAAGCAAACTGCTTTTCATTGCTTTATTGGTTTTCTATCATTAGTTTTGATCTGTAGTTGCAGCCATCGTGGGATGGGAGCTGGGAGTGGACATGCAAACCCACTGAGCACCTCTGTGGCTGCAAAAGTTCTCTGTGATGCCCTTGTGTACCCATCTTGTATATTGCTTTCTGGAAAACAAAGGGAAATTAACCTCCTTAAGGATGCCGAAGTATTCATTTCTATGTGAAATGAAAGAGAGTCATGTAATATTCTGTGCAGTGGGCTGCATGTGTACTGATACTATGTGATGCTGCATTTTGGATTTTGTAGTTTCTGTACTGCATGTTATTCCATACTTGTGACAGATACACGACCCACAAGAACTGGAACGCTTGTAAGCGCTTGCTCCAGTTACATGCAGGCAGCTCTGCCTTTTCAGATGACCTCCTCTCTTGTACCTGCATTTGTTTGTATTATCACTGATGCAAGAGGAGTTTTCTGTATGGAAACAGGAGAAAGAGGCAGGGGGAGCTGTTATTTTTTTGTTTGTTACCTAAGGTCCCGTCTGTGCACTGTGCGCTTTTTTTCTTTTCTTTTTTCCTCTCCTCCGTAAATGACTGAACTTTTTGTTGTTGTTGTTTTCTTTTGGAAACTATATTTGTGAAACTGCAGACGTGTATGCAGTTAGAGGTATGGAAACTTAGGTGCTGAAACAGTCCAATTTGGTGAAATAATACAATTAAGAGAAGTCGAGTATAGACCTGCTCTTACTCCAGTGCTTCGATGTGTGAATGATTAAGGGCAAAACCCAAATCCTATTGTAAAGGGCAACTTCAGATAAGCAAGAAAAGGAAGATAAAGTGACAGCAGTCATCCTCTTAATTCAGACAACTTACAAATACAGTGGCTATCTGCAAAATGCTGCAAAACATCTGCTGATGTCTCAACAGAGTGTGTGCATGTGTGTAACGTGAACAAGCTACCCACAGAAATGATAGTAGAACATACAAACGTATTATTTCTTGCATCAAGAGTATATGAAGAGATTTGCAGATAAATGAGAAATCAAGATCGATGCCCTGGAGACTACAATCAGAGTAGTCCATTGTAATTCATTTGTTAATTTATAGAGAGAGACTTTCAGGGAGTGTCACACAATGCCATTATGCTCCTGGGGCTGACTTTTGCATTTGGGTATCCATCTATCACTGAAATCACTGGGATATGTGAGCTTTAGCAGCAAGATAGCTGACTAGCCAAACCAGTTTCTTCAAAAGGCGTCCTTATCTTCCTCTAGCACAAACTGTGTTAGCTTGATAGCTCTTCAGAAACCAGCCTACTGAAAGGTTTACTTCATTTCAGGGAGGATGACTGTACCTTCATCAAATGCAGCAATATCAATAGTTTCAGTGCAAAACCAAACTCCTGGATTAGTCCAAGTTTCAGTAGTATGTGTGTATCAGAGGGTACAGTCACCCTGTGGATGTGAGCATTGCATCAAAGAAAAAACTCGCATTCAAAATTCAGTAGTCAGCATGTCATGGTCTACACATTAGCGTTTACAGGTACGAGAGCTCGTGTCAAATCTCATGTTACACTCTGGTCTGTATTGCCAAAGTGCTTGTGCAATGCAAGAGTGGTTGTACTGTCAGAAGTACTTTGACTTGTAGGACTTTGCTCTGGGGAGCCAGAACTAGCTGTACCCACAAAAGCATCCTCTGGCCAGTCTACATGAGGAGTGCTTGCTGGGGTGACTCAGCTCACAAACCCAATTTAGACCAGTCAAAAGAGGGGGTGTGTCTTATTCTCTAAAAGTGACTAGCTAGCTACCACAATTGTTATTTTGGAAATGTGTGAATTGCATTAGAAATTCTTTATTTCTCAAAATACCATTCTGCTGTGCTGCTCTCCTTGAGCCCCTACTATTGAAAATGTGGTTGTGTCAGTCGGGGCTCAGCTGTTACAGAGTGCACTCAATCTAGCTAGGATTTTGCTAGTTTTAACAGCAGGTGATTAGGAAGGGAGCAGGACTTCTATTTGCTCCTCAGTGGAAGGCATGTTCCAGCTTTATGCCCCCTGGATTTGCCATGCAGTAGCTGTGGAAGGTGTGTAGCCTTTGATGAATGCTCAAGTAGTAATTATTACCGGGATGAGTCTAGTTACCTCTCTCGCTCTCACCCCAGGGTCAGCTTGAGCAACATGCCTGGCTGTAAGTGCAGTTTGAAAAGCGAGTGCAGAATTTGCTTCTCTGGGTCTTACGCAGGCGATGACTGAGCAGGAGCTGCTGCTTCGCCCAGGCTGCATGACGTCAAAGGCTCGGGCATGACGAGGGATTAGCAGAGAGGCTCTTGCCTCTGGGATGTGCCCTTCCAATGAGGCTGATGCAATCGATGCCTGGCACCCCTGGGTTCAGGTGACAAGGATGGGATGGAAGCTGGATCAGGCTGATTCATTAGAAATCTACACGCTGCTGCTCCTCATTTGTACCTGCCAGCTCCGGAGAGCTGGTGAAGCACATGAAGGCACAGGGAGCCAGCAGCATGGATTTATCAGCTCTGTGAAGGTGGGGGTAGAAAGAATTCAGGTCAACTTTGCTTTGCCAGGTGTTAATGGTACCTGGGATGGGAATCCACCACTCGATGTTTCCTGGGGATGCAGACTGATGATGTTCAGCTTGGTACAATACCTGGTGCCCCCACTACATGTGTAACAATTTGGCTTTCTCCTGTGCAACTTGGCTTCCAGGAATATGTCATTAGTAGGTGTAGGATGAGATCTAGTATTGTTCCTGCCTATTCTGGTTCTTGATGTGTTACTTCCTGGCTTCCAACTACACCAAACTGAACTGTAATGCTTTTTATTTAGAGCTGAATTATGCTGACCTAATAGCATTGAGTAATAATGTACTTTTTTTCTTCAGAAATAGTTGCAGAGCATTTGGCATGAATATGGGCAGCAGAGGTCATTCCTAAAGGAAATGTGGAAAAAATATATGTTCCACTTACAGAGAAGTTGTATCAAAACAAATGTCTATTCCTGCTGAAGTGAAGTTGTTATGTATTGAAAGGGCTATGAAGTGCCCTAGTGGTTCATCGTATAGAGAACATGTACATGTAGGTGTGAGTCTTGTGCTCTCTGGCCTTAATAACGTTATTAAGGGTTGCTCACAGGGAAGAAGCATGAGAAAATCCTTATTAGTTTTCCTGTTCAAACACAAACTTCTGATGACCACTGAAAATACAAGGAGACATGAGTTGACCATTTGGCTAAGCTGTACACTCACTACCGTGTTGAGAGAACAAGTGATATTTATGTAGACTGTAATGGTGTGTGAGCTTTCGTTTTGAAGTTTTAATGCAAAGTAGGTTTTGCCTGCTGACAGATCCATGCAAGGCAGATGCAAGGTTCCTCCTCCTGCTAGTGTGCCTTCTCCAGCCCGGCACATCTGTGTACATGAAAGTAAACATCTACGTGTTCACATGCATGTCTCGCTATGAGAGTGCATCAAATCATGGGTGGTTTTTGTTTGTTTCAGTGGCTGAGGGAGGAAAATAAGAATAACTTCCAGTCAAACTGAAACAAATATATTAGGGTGGTTCTATTGAAGTGAAGAAAAAAAAAAAGAACATTGAACACACCAAAAAATATTTTAGGATAATCTGGAAGACCTGAGACTATTTCTTTTCTTTTTAAGTTGGTTAAAAAAGGAAAATCAAATGCTATTTGAAATGAAAATTTGCAGGTTTATTTTGAAAATACCAGAGCACCACTTAATTTTCTTAAAACTCCCTCCCACTCAGTTTTTGGAGCAAGGTGTGTTTGCTGCATTTTTGGCTCAAATTAATGAACCAACTTCAATTCTATTCTTCCTCCCTGAAAAACTGAGGTTTGGGGGTTGGAATAAACTGTTGTTTGTGTACAGAAAAAAAAAAAAAAAAAGCCTTGCTCCAAACTGTGTGAAGGTTAAGAAGAGGGATAAATATAGTCTGAAATATTTGTGATAGCTTTTGCATTTTCATCAAGTAATAATAAAAAGCTTGGTTACCTGT